CCTCCCTAATCGACCCAACTAAACGTCCCTCCCTAAAACCTTCTGCTGCAAGACCCCCTAGATTCTGTGGTCTTCCCATGATTCATAAAGAAGGCACCCCACTTCGACCCATCGTATCCACGATCAACTCCCCTACCTATAGACTAGCCCGTTTTCTGTCAGATACCTTGCTGCCTTTCACTGGCAAGACCACCTCAGCAGTACTTAACTCAGCCCAATTGGTCTCTATGGTCAAAGACGTTGTACTGTCCCCTGACGATATCCTTGTCAGCTTCGATGTGGTCTCTTTGTTCACCAAGGTCCCAGTACCTGACATCATTGAAATAATTGAAAATTTTGTCCAACATGGACTAGACCCGACACACCTGCACTGGTTAGGCACTGCCTCAACAATACCTACTTTACTTGGAATGGCTCCTTCTACAAACAAAATGAGGGTACCCCCATGGGATCCCCCTTATCACCAGTGATAGTCAATATTTTCATGGAGAAATTTGAATCAGACGCCATCCAGACTTCCACCCTCAGACCTTCTCTGTGGAAGAGATATGTGGATGACACTTTGGAGAAAGATGGCAAGCTACCATTCTTAGATGTTCTGTTTGAGAGGAGACCTGATGGCTCATTGGGGCATTCTGTCTACAGGAAACCCACCCACACAGATTCCTACTTGAAACCTGATTCCCACCACCACCCAGCCCAAAAGAATTCTCTCATCAAAACTTTATACCATAGGGCTCATTGCATTTCGGACCAACACCACCTGACCAGTGAATTAAAACACGTACACCTGGCCCTCAAAAGGAATGGTTAGTCTGACCGTACCATCCGCCAAGCTGTCTCTCCCTCCATACAGAAACAACCACTTGATACTCCGGTCAAAACCATCACACTTCCATATATAGAAGGCGTTACTAAAAAGATTTCCAAAATTCTAAACAAACACAAGATCCAGGTCTGGTTCAATACAGTACACAAAATTCGTGATCTGATCCCATCCGTGAAGGATGTCATTCCTGATTTACAGTACCCCGGGGTTTACAAATTGAGTTGTACCTGCGGTGATTGCTATATCGGTGAGACAAAGCGACATGCCTCTGACCGAATTCGCGAGCACAAATCAGATTTGAAACACGGTAAAACGAATTCTTCTGCCGTGGCTGATCACTGTTACAACGCTGTGGGGGATCACAATATAATTTTCTCCGATACCAAGGTTCTTTGCAAACCCACGGGCTTTTATCAGAGATTTGTTCATGAAGCAATTCAGATCTACAAACACAGACACAATTTCAACCGAGAGGATGGTTTCAAATTAAGCAACCATTGGAAAGATTTTCTAAATCGAACTAAACATTAAACTAATTTCAATGGTACAGTATACTTTTTCAAATAGTGGTACACCAAACTTTCGCAGCTCTTATAAATTCCCTTCTCACACCATCAATAGGTAAACTCCCCCCCCCCCCCGCGCCAAACGGCAAGTCCACCGGCACGTACACCACCTCTTTCCGAAAATCCGCCACTCAAATGCTAATTTTTATGCTAATTTCTTTGTCAGAACACCTTGTTTGCTCGCACACAGTTTAAAGGTCCGCTGTCTGAGCGTGGTTGTGTTTCGCTAAATTCTCCTGTTTGATGAGTACTAGGTGCCTCGGTGAATGTATATGCTCTAACTTTAACATAGCTATTTCTGTGACCAGTTACAAGCTAATCACTCAGCTATTTCCATGCTAAATTCCATGCAAATTCCTTTGTCAAGGGGTACCTCTGCGGATGTGTATACTTTAACTTAGCTATTTCAATGAGCCATTTCAATGCTAAATTATATGCTAATTCCTTTGTCAAGGCGCTTGGTGTTTTTCTTCTCACACAGCTTAAAGGTCGTGATCTAAGCGTGGCTTCTTCCACTCCAGCGCTGTCCTCCAGACAGTCTCGTCCCTTCACCTGATGAAGGCCGCTTGTGTTGTGGCCGAAACGTCGTGATTTTTTGTTATTTTATTTTCAACTACGTGACTTTACCCAATAGAACCAAGAGTATGGATCCTAGCAGTCATGAAAGCTTTAAATCTAGAATGCATTTAATAACCCAACTTGTTTCTGTGATACTGTGCAAGCCCAGAGTTAATAAATACTCGTCAGGGCGCTTTGTCCGAGCTGTGTGTGTGTGGCGCTGACCCCTGGTGACCAGCACAGAGGGCACGGCACGGAGCCACAGCAATTCCACCACAGCTGTTGACGACCACGCCTTGTTCAACACCACACACACGTGACTTCCTCCTCATGCACCTAGCCTGGCACAGCAGTACAACACACACACGTCACCTGCTGGGTCTGTCACGTGACTTCATGCAACTAGCCTGGCACAGCAGTACAACACACGGCACCTGCTGGGTCTGTCTCTGTCACCTCCTGGTGCACCTAGCCTGGCACAGCAGTACAACACACACGCCACCTGCTGGGTCTGTCACGTGACTTCCTCGTGCACCTAGCCTGGCACAGCAGTACAACCCACGTCACCTGCTGGGTCTGTCTCTGTGACCTCATGCACCTAGCCTGGCACAGCAGTACAACACATGGCACCTGCTGGGTCTGTCTCTGTGACCTCATGCACCTAGCCTGGCACAGCAGTACAACCCATGGCACCTGCTGGGTCTGTCTCTGTGACCTCATGCACCTCGCCTGGCACAGCAGTACAACCCATGACACCTGCTGGGTCTGTCTCTGTGACCTCCTCATGCACCTAGCCTGGCACAGCAGTCAACACACGTCACCTGCTGGGTCTGTCTCTGTGACCTCGTGCACCTAGCCTGGCACAGCACTACAACCCACGGCACCTGCTGGGTCTGTCTCAGTGACCTCATACACCTAGCCTGGCACAGCAGTACAACCCATGGCACCTGCTGGGTCTGTATCTGTGACCTCATGCACCTAGCCTGGCACAGCAGTACAACCCCGGCACCTGCTGGGTCTGTCTCAGTGACCTCATGCATCTAGGCTGGCTGATTTTAACGACACAACATTTATATATTTACGCCATCTAAACCAACAAAACCTCTATTACGGACTCAGTCACTCACTCGGCACTCACTCACTCAGCCAGTCACTCACTCAGCCAGTCACTCACTCAGCCAGTCACCCACTCAGCCAGTGACTCACTCAGCCAGTCATTCACTCAGCCAGTCACTCACTCAGCCAGTCACTCAGCCAGTGACTCACTCACTCAGCCAGTCACTCACTCACTCAGCCAGTGACTCACTCAGCCAGTCACTCACTCACTCAGCCAGTCACTCAGCCAGTCACTCTGCCAGTCACTCACTCAGCCACTCACTCACTCAGCCAATCACTCACTCACTCAACCACTCACTCACTCACTCAGCCAGTCACTCACTCAGCCAGTCACTCACTCACTCAGCCAGTGACTCACTCACTCAGCCAGTGACTCACTCAGGAGCTCAGCTGCTCACTCAGTCGCTTGCTCACGAAATTACTCAATCACTGAGCCAGTTTGACAGTAAACTTTATGTTTATATATCCAACAACACAGCACGAAATAACATCATCGTCTGGCTAATCAGGACCTCCGTCAGCCTACCCCACACCACACAATGGTACCCACATGCTTACCCCTCCACCGTGGTGGTGGTGGTGCTGGAATTGGTGGTGGTGGTGCTAGCATTGGTGGTGTTGGATCGTGGTGGTGTTGGTGGTGTCGTTCAGTGGGTGTTAGCGGTGGTGGTGTTGGTGGTGGTGTCGTTCAGTGGGTGTTAGCGGTGGTGGTGTTGGTGGTGGTGTCGTTCAGTGGGTGTTAGCGGTGGTGGTGTTGGTGGTGGTGTCGTTCAGTGGGTGTTAGCGGTAGTGGTGGTGGTGTCGTTCAGTGGGTGTTAGCGGTGGTGGTGTTGGTGGTGGTGTCGTTCAGTGGGTGTTAGCGGTGTTGGTGGTGGTGTCGTTCAGTGGGTGTTAGCGGTGGTGGTGGTGGTGTCGTTCAGTGGGTGTTAGCGGTGGTGGTGGTGTTTATGGTGGTGTTGGTGGTGGTGTCGTTCAGTGGGTGTTAGCGGTGGTGGTGGTGTTGGTGGTGTCGTTCAGTGGGTGTTAGCGGTGGTGGTGTCGTTCAGTGGGTGTTAGCGGTGGTGGTGGTGTTGGTGGTGGTGTTGGTGGTGGTGTCGTTCAATGGGTGTTAGCGGTGGTGGTGGTGTTGGTGGTGTCGTTCAGTGGGTGTTAGCGGTGGTGGTGGTGGTGTCGTTCAGTGGGTGTTAGCAGTGGTGGTGGTGTTGGTGGTGGTGTCGTTCAGTGGGTGTTAGCGGTGGTGGTGTTGGTGGTGGTGTCGTTCAGTGGGGGTTAGCGGTGGTGGTGGTGTTGGTGGTGGTGTCGTTCAGTGTGTGTTAGCGGTGGTGGTGGTGTTGGTGGTGGTGTCGTTCAGTGGGTGTTAGCGGTGGTGGTGGTGGTGTTGGTGGTCGTGTCCTTCAGTGGGTGTTAGCGGTGGTGGTGGTGGTGGTGTCGTTCAGTGGGTGTTAGCGGTGGTGGTGTCGTTCAGTGGGTGTTAGCGGTGGTGGTGGTGGTGTTGGTGGTCGTGTCCTTCAGTGGGTGTTAGCGGTGGTGGTGGTGGTGGTGTCGTTCAGTGGGTGTTAGCGGTGGTGGTGGTGTTGGTGGTGGTGTCGTTCAGTGGGTGTTAGCGGTGGTGGTGGTGGTGTCGTTCAGTGGGTGTTAGCGGTGTTAGCGGTGGTGGTGTTGGTGGTGGTGTCGTTCAGTGTGTGTTAGCGGTGGTAGTGGTGGTGGTGGTGTCGTTCAGTGGGTGTTAGCGGTGGTGTTGGTGGTGGTGTCGTTCAGTGGGTGTTAGCGGTGGTGGTGTTGGTGGCGGTGTCGCTCAGTGGGTGTTAGCGGTGGTGGTGTTGGTGTCGTTCAGTGGATGTTAGCGGTGGTAGTGGTGGTGGCGGCGTCGTTCAGTGGGTGTTAGTGGTGTTGGTGGTGGTGTCGTTCAGTGGGTGTTAGCGGTGGTGGTGTTGGTGGTGGTGTTGTTCAGTGGGTGTTAGCGGTGGCGTCAGCGATGTGCTCCAGCTCGTCGAGGTACCGCTGTCTCAGCGACCCCAGGTACGAGGCCAGGCTGGCTCCGTCCAGCCGCGAGTGTCGCGCCGCCTGGCCCAGCCGCGTCGCGAGGCGGTGGACGGCCGCTCGGCGCAGCACGGGCGCGGAGTCGGCCTGACGCTCCATCTGGGGGGGGTCGCGGAGGGGTCACGGGGGGGGGGGGTCACGGGCGGGTCGCGGGGGGGTCGCGGCGGGGGTGTCGGCGGGGGTCAGCGTTGTTACCCAGCTCTTGCCGCCGATCCGAGCCAGCAGCCCCGTGGCGTCGCGCAGCAGGGAGGGCGGCAGCGATGACAGCGTGGCCATCTCCAGACCTGGACGCGGGGCACGCGGAGGGGGAGGGGGAGGGGGGGGTGGGAGGGGGAGGGTGGTGGCCGTGAGACGCCGACCGCGTCGCGGAAGGCGACGGCTTCTTCTTCACGATGTTTGAGGCGCCGGCGGCCTCGGCAGGGCCGTCCCCACTTTGTGCCGCGATGAGTTTTTCCGGGCCGAGGGGTTTCCCCCCTCCCACTACCGGGACCTCGCGGAAATGCTCGGCAAATCTGAAAACCTGTTCCCTGGGGGTCGGAGATCGGGTCACCGTTCTTTCCCCCAATGATGGTAATTGGTTGTGGCGCCGCAGGTTACTTTCTTGATGGGAGTTAAAGAGCGATTTGTGATCGCGGGCCACTGATGCAGACTCCATCTCCTCGGCAACCCGCGACCGCCACCCATCCTTGCGGCGCCTCGCGGCTCTCCGAACCTCCGAGCGAGGGCTGCGGTAAGCCTCCTCATTCTCCGCCGTGGGATTCTGTAGCCGATGATAGTGGGCCTGTCGCCATCCTGAACACCTCCTCTGTCAGCCAGGGTCTCTGGGGAGGTCTGGACCGCGTACCCAAAGCAGCCATTTCAGCTGCATGAGTCACAGTCCTAAACCTCGCCCATTTACCCTCGACATCAGGAGGAGTGGGGGACGATGCCAATCCCAGCCAGCAGAGCATGCCACTAAGGGTTTGAATGGGGTCCTGGATGTACACCCACCACCGGAGTGGAAGAATTGCAGGTGCATCTTACAGATTACAAGTCGATGGTCAGAGGGCAGATCAGCTCCACGGTAGGTCCTGGTGTCAGGGACATGGGCTCGCATCCGCTGGTCCGTCACTATGTAGTCCAGCAGATGTTCTTGCTTGGACCCGGCATGCATCCATGATGTTGTGTGGATGCACCGATGCCAGAACAACGTGTTGGTATTTACAAGCCCATGGGCTGCACAAAAATGTAGCAGCCTCCTGCCGTTGTTATTGAGCTGGTCTGGCCCATTCCTTCCAATCACTCCAGACTAGGTGCATCATGACCAACTCGGGCATTCACCCAACAAGATGACTATCCCGAGGGGCCACTTTAGCTCGCACCTGTGACAGGAGGTCATAGAAGGCATCCGACTCATCGGCCTTGCCTGGATCCCTCCACGGATGTTCGTCTTCGGTGGGGGCATAAGTAACCACGACCACCACTCCTCACATCCGGTTGTTGGGAAGGCGAGCCCAAAGTAGCCTGGGGCTTACAGCTTCCCACACCTCACCACCACGCTCCCACGCCCCCTTCATTCTTTTGTTTAGAAGAAGAGCCACTCCCTGTTGTTTGGCAGTCTCCTGCCGTGAGAAGAGGACTGTCCACCCCTCATGGTGGTAGGAGCCAGAGCCGGTCCACCGGACCTCCTGAATACCACAGAGATCCAGGCGGTACCGGTCCAGCTCCCGACAGCGGAGTGGCAGCCTCTCCTCCGCAGTGAGCGTTCGAACATTCCACGTGGCCACCCGTAGTGGTTTTTCGTTGTTTCTGGAGGAGCCCCGAGGGTAGATATTCAGTCTCCTGGCTCTGCCAAATGGGGTTTGGTCAGGAGACGTCATAGACGCCTGTCCCCCCGGGGCCTCCGGCACAAGCTTATTAGTTACATATTTCGGTTTAACTCGTGGTTTCGTGGTAATTAATTGAAGGTGGAAGGGTTACCAGCCCCTCGCACCTGTCCAGAGCCCCCGTTTAGCCCCTGTGGTAGACACATTTGCCATGAGGGGAGGAGCCAATCAAAATTGGATCTCCCCCCAAAGCACTGTCCACGACAGAGTTGCCTGTCCGGCACCGCGAGGAGGTAAGGGGTTGTTTTGCCGGACCACACACACACACATGTACACACACACACACACGTACACACACACACACGTACACAACAACAACAACAACCGCCATTCGCCACTAAGTGGCGGTGACGTCACCACGACGCTTGTGCCAGGCTATGTGCACCGTGAGGCCACGTGAAGTGTCGAACGCCCGCTGGCAGGAGGTCACTGGGTAGACCCAGGTGCCACGGGTCAACTGACTGAGATGACTGGCTTATGCACCACCTGTGCCCCCTACTGTGCCAACCTGCTGTGCTTTAGCCACCCGGCGCTCCGCTCGTTGTTCTGAGCATCGCTCCTCCGCCCTCCGTTGTTGTTGGAGGGCGACTGCCTCCAACTGCCCAGTAGCATCCTTCACGAGCCTCCTCCACAGAGGCCGATCTTGACACCGCTGGTACCAGTCATCGGCAAGTCCACTCAGCTCCACGTCCTCCTGTACCACATCACTCCATCTCTTCTCTAGCCCGTGCCGCGCCTGCTTAGCCCCCTCAATCCGGCCAAACAAAAGCTGTTTCGGCATGCGGGCTACATGACCCAGCCATCGCAGCCTTGCCTGCCGGAGGAGCTCACCGATGGGACCCTGCCCAGATCTTTCAAGGATTTGTGAGCTCCTCACACAATCCAGTCTGGTTAAACCCAGGATGGATCGTAGGCAGGCCAGCCTAAATGTTTCTAACCGGCGAAGATGTTCCACTAGGGGGGTCCACGTTTCGCAAGCGTAGAGAAGGGAGGGAATGACCGTGGCCGAGAAGACCTGAAGCTTAGTGCGGAGCGACAGACCAGGTAGCTTCCACACAGCGTTACGCAACCGATGAAAAGATATTGCCGCTCGACTGATTCGGAGTGAGACCTCTGCTGTTAAACTGGAGCCAGTCATAAGCACACTGCCCAGGTATGGGAAACTCTCCACTCTCTCCACAACTGCCCCATCACCGATTGGGAGTTGTGGGGGTGTAGTGTCCGATGGTACAAAATACCCAGGCAGGTGCTTAGTTTTGGTGGGGCTGATGGTAAGGCCCCACCTCTTAGTGGCACGCTCCAGTCTCAGCAGCAGCGTCTCCAACTCCTCCTCTGACTGAGCAGCTATTACCAAATCATCAGCATACATAACGTGGTTGAGCAATAGGGAGCCATCCCTTGACCGCACACGGGCATCGATTAGCCTCCCATTATATCTGTACCATATGGAGATTCCCCCGGTACAGCTATTGAAGGCTTCACGAACTACGTGGTCAAAATAGATGTTAAATAATGTGGGAGCCAGAGGACATCCCTGTCGCACCCCAAGGTGTACAGGGAATGGCTCTGACTCCCGGCCACGTAGTTTTACCCGGGCCCGCTCACCATCATGAAGGTCCTTAATGATCGTGAGCAGAGGGTCAGGTACTCCAAAAGCACGAAGAACACACACACGTACACATACACACACGTACACACACACACGCGTAGTACCGTAGTGCGTGTCCGGCGTGTGCCCCTGCACCAGCTTGTACGTGCACGTCACACGTGGCACCGTCCGCGAGTCATCGGCACCAGCGGCTTTACCGTCACAACGGCCGGCCCAGGGCAGCTGCTGCTGCTGCTGCTGATTGCGCGACTCCACCAGGAAGTGGCTGTTGGAGACGTTGGGGTAGAGGGTAGAGAGGTGGCTCAGCTCCAGGTGGTGGGTGGCGAAGATGGTGAACGTCTGGGGGGGGGGGGAGACACACAGGGGTGGTGAGGGTGGTGAGGGTGGTGAGTGTGAGTGGTGAGTGTGAGTGGTGAGTGTGAGTGGTCACCACCTTGCGCTGCAGGAGACACTCACAGACCGAGTGACAGATCCCCAGGGCCTCGTGGACCCCGGTGCCCCTCCCGAGCTCGTCGATGATCACCAGAGAGCGGTCGGTGGCTGTGCGAACTATGTAGTTCACCTGGGGTCATGGGGGTCACCGGGGGTCACCCACCCACTCACCCACACACACACCCACCCACTCACCAACTCACTCACTCACCAACTCACTCACTCACCAACCCACTCACTCACCCACCCACTCACCCACCCACTCACACACCCACACACCCACCCACTCACCAACTCACTCACTCACCCACCCACTCACACACCCACTCACCAACCCACTCACCCACCTACCCAACTACTCACCCACCCACTCACCCACCCAACCACTCACCCACCCACTCACTCACCCACCCACTCACCCACCCATTCACCCACCCAACCACTCACCCACCCACTCACTCACCCACCCACCCACTCACCCACCCACTCACCCACCCAAACCACTCACCCACTCACTCACTCACCCACCCACTCACCCACCCACTCACCCACCCAACCACTCACCCACCCACTCACTCACCCACCCACCCACTCACCCACCCTCTCACTCAACCACCCACTCACCCACTCACTCACCCACCCAACCACTCACCCACCCACCCACTCACCCACCCACTCACACACCCACTCACCAACACACTCACCCACCTACCCAACCACTCACCCACCCACTCACCCACCCAACCACTCACCCACCCACTCACCCACCCACTCACTCACACACCCACTCACCCACTCAATCACACACCCACCCACCCACTCACCCACCCACTCACACACCAGCCCACCCACCCACTCACCCACCCTCTCACTCACCCACCCACTCACCCACCCACTCACACACCCACTAACCCACCCACTCACCCACCCACTCACCAACCCACTCACCCACCTACCCAACCACTCACCCACCCACTCACCCACCCAACCACTCACCCACCCACTCACTCACCCACCCACTCACACACCCACCCACCCACTCACCCACCCTCTCACTCAACCACCCACTCACTCTCTCACACACCCAACCAACCACTCACCCACCCACTCACACACCCACCCACTCACCCACCCAACCACTCACCCACCCACTCACTCACCCACCCACTCACACACCCACCCACCCACTCACCCACCCTCTCACTCAACCACCCACTCACTCTCTCACACACCCAACCAACCACTCACCCACCCACTCACACACCCACCCACTCACACACCCAACCAACCACTCACCCACCCACTCACCCACCCACCCACCCACTCACCCACCCACCCTCTCACTCCCCACCCACCTCTCTCATCTCGATGGTGAAGGTGGAGGAGAGTGGCTGTATGTCGTCGTCCACACCGATGCGAGTGAAGATCTGATCAGCGATCCTCACGCAGGCAAAGTCGGCTGGCACGAAGCAACCTGAAGCAGTGGTAGCACCCAAACACTCACTCACTTACTTACTCACCTACTCACTCACTCAAACACTCACTCACTCACTTACTCACCTACTCACTCACTCAAACACTCACTCACTTACTTACTCACCTACTCACTCACTCACTCAAACACTCACTCACATACTTACTCACCTACTCACTCAATCACTCAAACACTCACTCACTCACTTACTCACCTACTCACTCACTCAAACACTCACTCACTTACTTACTCACCTACTCACTCACCAACTCACTCACTCACTCACTCACCCACCCACTCACTCACCAACTCACCCACTCACTCACCAACCAACTCACTCACCAACTCACCCACCCACTCACCAACTCACTCACTCACTCACCCACTCACTCACTCACCAACTCACCCCCCCACCCACTCACCGATCTGTGCCATCACCTGGCAGAGTGCCACCTGTCTCAGCAGCGTGGACTTGCCGCTGTTGTTGGGCCCCGTGACAATGAGGAAGTTGGAGGCGTCCGACAGGAAGACGTCGTTAGGCACCAGCGGCCAGCCCAGCACCCGCTCCAGGATGGGGTGGCGAGCCCCTTTGAGGGCCAGCGTGTCAGAGAATTCCGGACGGACTGCAGCTCACCACAGACAGTGGGGGGGAGGTCACGGGAGGTCACGGGGGTGAAGGTCATGGGGGTGGAGGTCAAGGGGGGGAGGTCACGGGGGGGAGGTCATGGGGGGGAGGAGTCAAGGGGGGGAGGTCTCGGGGTAGAGGTCACAGGGCGGAGGTCACGGGGGCGGAGGTCATGGTGGCGGAGGTCACATGGGGAGGTCACAGGGGTGAAGGTCACGGGGGCGGAGGTCACGGGGGCGGAGGTCACGGGGGGAGGTCACGGGGGGTGAAGGCCACTCACTCACTCATCCACTCACCCACTCACTCACTCCCTCACTCACTCACCCACCCACTCACTCACCCACCCACTCACTCACTCCCTCACTCACCCACTCACCCACTCACTCACTCACTCACCCACCCACCCACTCACTCACTCCCTCACTCACCCACTTACCCACTCACTCACCCACCCACCCACCCACTCACTCACTCACCCACCCACCCACTCACTCACTCACCCACCCACTCACTCACTCACTCACCCACCCACCTACTCACCCACTCACCCACTCACTCACCCACCGACTCACTCACCCACCCATCCACTCACCCACTCACTCACCCACTCACTCACCCACCCACCCACCGCGTACCGGACTTGGTGAGCGTGGTGCGGTGAGCAAATGCCAGCAGCATGTCCACCATGGACACTGCGTCAGCAAGCTTGTAGAGACACACAATGTCCTCCCGGATCTCCGCAAACAGCTTAGACAACACCCTGGGCACGGAGACAGAGCGGGGGTCACCCTCCCCCCCCCCAAAGGGTGTTGTGTAAAGAGTAGTGTACAGTAGTGTATAGTGTACATAGTGTAGTGTACAGTAGAGTATAGTGTAGTGTATAGTGTAGTGCATAGTGTAGTGTAGTAGTGTACAGTAGTGTATAGTGTAGTGTATAGTGTAATGTATAGTGTAGTGTAGTAGTGTACAGTACTGTATAGTGTAGTGTATAGTAGTATAGTGTAGTGTATAGTGTAGTGTATACTGTAGTGTATAGTGTATAGTGTAGTGCATAGTGTAGTGTATAGTGTAGTGTACAGTAGTGTATAGTGTAGTGTATAGTGTAGTGCATAGTGTAGTGTACAGTAGAGTATAATGTAGGGTATAGTGTAGTGTAGAGTGTAGTGTATAGTGTAGTGTATAGTGTAGTGCATAGTAGTGTATAGTGTAGTGTATAGTGTAGTGTATAGTGTAGTGTAGTAGTGTACAGTAGTGTATAGTAGTGTATAGTGTAGTGCATAGTGTAATGTATAGTGTAGTGTATAGTAGTGTATAGTGTAGTGTATAGTGTAGTGCATAGTGTAATGTATAGTGTAGTGTATAGTGTAGTGTAGTAGTGTACAGTAGTGTATAGTGTAGTGTATAGTGTAGTGTATAGTAGTGTATAATGTAGTGTATAGTGTAGTGTATAGTGTAGTGCATAGTGTAGTGTATAGTAGTGTATAGTGTAGTGTATAGTGTAGTGTATAGTGTAGTGTATATTGTAGTGTATAGTGTAGTGTATAGTGTAGTGTATAGTAGTGTAGTGTATAGTGTAGTGTATGGTGTAGTGTATAGTGTAGTGTATAGAAGTGTAGTGTATAGTGTAGTGTATAGTAGTGTAGTGTATATTGCAGTGTATATTGTAGTGTGTAGTAGTGTAGAGTATAGTGTAGTGTATAGTAGTGTAGTGTATAGTGTAGTGCTGTAGTGTAGTGTATAGTGTAGTGTATAGTGTAGTGTATAGTAGTGTATAGTGTAGTGTATAGTGTAGTGTATAGTAATGTATAGTGTAGTGTATAGTGTAGTGTATAGTAGTGTATAATGTAGTGTATAGTGTAGTGTATAGTAGTATAGTGTAGTGTATAGTGTAGTGTATAGTAGTGTATAGTGTAGTGTATAGTGTAGTGTGTAGTGTAGTGTATAGTGTAGTGTATAGTGTAGTGTATAGTAGTGCAGGGCATAGCCAGGGGGTTCCTCTGCAACCCCCACAGGTAGAAGCGGCAGTGAGTCAAGGAACAGATGGAGATTAGTCCACCACACTCTGCCTGGGGCAGGGGTGTTCCCTCACACGTTGGACATGAGGTAGATCTCCTCCACGGCCTCTTGGCTGCGGCAGTTCAGCCTCATGAGGTCCATGGTGGTGTAGCTGAGAAGGTTCCCACGTTTGCTCACCTGGTGAGTGAGGGGTGTTGAGTGGTGAGTGAGGGGTGGTGAGTGGTGAGTGAGGGGTGTGGTGAGTGGTGAGTGAGGGGTGGTGAGGGGTGGTGAGTGGTGAGTGAGGGGTGGTGAGTGGTGAGTGAGGGGTGGTGAGTGGTGAGTGAGGGGTGGTGAGTGGTGAGTGAGGGGTGGTGAGTGGTGAGTGAGGGGTGGTGAGTGGTGAGTGGTGAGTGAGGGTGGTGAGTGGTGAGTGAGGGGTGGTGAGTGGTGAGTGAGGGGTGGTGAGTGGTGAGTGAGGGGTGGTGAGTGGTGAGTGGTGAGTGAGGGTGGTGAGTGGTGAGTGAGGGTGGTGAGTGGTGAGTGGTGGGGTGAGTGGTGGTGATTGGTGAGTGGGGGGTGGTGAGTGATGAGTGAGTGGTGGTGAGTGGTGAGCGAGGGGTGGTGAGTGGTGAGTGATGAGTGAGTGGTGAGTGAGGGGTGGTGAGTGGTGAGTGAGGGGTGGTGAGTGGTGAGTGAGGGGTGTGGTGAGTGGTGAGTGAGGGTGGTGAGTGGTGAGTGAGGGGTGGTGAGTGGTGAGTGAGGGGTGGTGAGGGGTGAGTGAGGGGTGTGGTGAGTGGTGGGGTGAGGGGTGAGACTCACACGTAGACACATAGACTCACACATAGACTCATAGACTCACACATAGACACATAGACTCACACATAGACTCACACGTAGACACACACATAGACTCACACATAGACACATAGACTCACACATAGACTCATAGACTCACACATAGACACATAGACTCACACATAGACTCATAGACTCACACATAGACACATAGACTCACACATAGACTCACACATAGACACATAGACTCACACATAGACTCACACACAGATACACATAGACTCACACATAAACACATAGACTCTCACATAGACACATAGACTCACACATAGACACATAGACTCACACATAGACACATAGACTCACACATAGACACAGACCCACACGTAGACACATAGACTCACACATAGACTCACACATAGACACATAGACTCACACAAAGACACATAGACTTACACATAGACGCAGACTCACACATAGCCTCACACCTAGACACATAGACTCACACGTAGACACAGACTCACACATAGTCTCACACCTAGACACATAGACTCACACATAGACTCACACATAGACACAGACTCACACATAGACACAGACTCACACTTAGACACATAGACTCACACATAGACACAGACTCACACCTATACACATAGACTCACACCTAGACACAGACTCACACCTATACACATAGACTCACACATAGACTCTGGGTCTATGAGTGGTGAGTCTGTGAGTGGTGAGTCTATGAGTGGTGAGTCTGAGTCTCTGTGTGATGAGTCTATGGGTCTCTGCGTGGTGAGTCTGTGGGTCTCTATGTGATGAGTTTATGGGTCTCTGCGTGGTGAGTCTATGGGTCTCTGTGTGATGAGTCTCTGGGTCTCTGT